CACAGGTAAACATCTTTCTGGTATTGTCCGCTTTCAGCCAAGATCCATCTGACATCAGCAATGATATCCCTAAGATATACAGGGACCTATATCACAAAGAATATCACAAAGAGATTTGTAACCTGTAAAGTCACTGCCAACGTCCCACCTGCCCATAGGTAGGGGCAGAGGTCAGCAAGAAGGGCACCCCCAGGAGGAGTAACCAAAAAGAGGTTCACAAGATGAGCTCATCTGTGAGCAGACACAGAAAGGTCTCAGAGACTGAGCATTAAATGGAAAGGCCGAAATGCAGACACATGTGTGTAGCATGGTTCCATGTATAAAAAAGCATGGAGGTGTATGCATATGGGACCTTTGCAAAAATGTTCCGGAATCATCCACAAGAAACTGTCGAAAAGGACTGCTTCTCGGGAGGAGGGCTGGAGATTCAACACTTCCTGTGTTGTCTGAATGTCACAATCATCATTCCTGTGTGCTTATTTTATGATTAAAAAGGGGATTGGAAAAGAAGGCCCTACGTGGTGCAGAAGAGTGGATGTTGCCTCTCGGGGCTGAGGACACTTGGTCCTGCAGCAGGAACATGTGTGTCAGGCGACTCAAATTTTTCACTACTCTTCAAGTGACAGAGAAAGCACCACAAATATTAGTTTGGGGTTACAAATAAATTTTAGTAAGTCAGTGAATTCACAAACATAACACCGTAAATAATGAGGATCAACTGTAAATTTAGACCATTTTCATCACCACAAGAAGAAATGCCGCTGCTCTCCTTAGCCATCATGCCCAGCTCTAGACAATCACGAATCTACTCTGTCTCTGGATTTGCCTATTCTGGACATGTCCTATCAAGGGACTCATATAATGCGTGGTCTTCAGTGTCAGCTGTTTTTGCCATTTATCCATTTTGTAGCAGGTATCAGAACATCTTTCCTTTTTATGGCTGAATAATATTCCATTGTATGGATGTACCACATTTTATTTTTCCATTTATTTGTTCGTTGCTGGACATTTGGGTTTTTTCCTCTTTGTAGCAACTGTAATGCTGCTATGAGCATTTGTGTACATCTTTCTGTATGGATGTACGTATATGTTTTACATATCTTTGGTACATATGTTATATTTCTACAATTAAAATTTACATTCAAAAAAATGATGAAGCGTTGCATATGTGGATACAGCACAGCCTCTGAGATCTGCCACTGAAAAGCTGAACAAGGGCAGCGGTGCCCGAGCCCTTGTTGGGGAGGCTCCCCACACTGCCTGCAAGGACTCTGCCTCTGGGAGGCGCACAGGGAACACAGACAACAGTGAGAGAAGTTTCCACTTTGGGGAGTGGGGCTGGGAGGCAGGGCTGGGCCAGAGGCACACTCTTCTGTGTATCACCTTGAAGATTACATGAATGTTGTACCAGGATCATGAGTCACTGGGATGGTTAAGACTGTGTGTCAGCTTGGCTGGGCCATGATTCTCAGTGTTTTGGCAGTTGTATAACATTGTGAGCACTTCCCTCCTGAGATGTGGTATGTGATCACTCCCATGATGGGATCTGCTGTAAGTAGCCAATTAGTTAAAAGGGAGTTTCCTTGGGCATGTAACCTGCAGCGAATATAAGCAGACATTCTGGCAAGGCTTGGGAACTTTTTGATCATGCTGGATCCTGCAGGTGGCTCCTCTTCATGTGACCTCTGGTTCTTGGGACTTGAGCTAGCAGCTTACCTGTGGTCTTGCCTGCCAATTGTGAGTTTTGTCAATCTTCACAGCCTGTGAGCAACAGCCCTGCTCTCCAGCCTGCCAATCTTGGGTTCGCCACCCCCTGCACCTACGTGAATCAGGAGAAGCCTCCAGCCTGACCTATGGATTTGGGACATTCCAGCCTCTACAACTGCCTGAGTCATTTCTTTAAGAAAAAAATCTGTGTCTCTCTCTATATACACATATTTATACACTTTACTGATTTGACTTCTCTAGAGAACCCAGTTATTAAATCAAAAAAATCGGTTTTTTACTTACTATGGAGAGAGAGAGACAGAGACAGAGACAGAGATCCAGAGACACAAAGAAAGAGAGAAAAGTGGCTCTTTGCTTCCTGGGCAAGTAGTTCTGCCCTCCCCTTACCCTCCTTCATCCTCAGCACCCCCAGTTCCCTTCTTCTCACTCACACCTTTTCCCTAGCCCCCAGACCACTTTCTCTCTAGCCCCCACCATCTTTCTTCCAATACCTCACCCCCTTCCTCCACCTCTCACCCTCCTCCTACCTACCCCCTCCCTCTCTGCCTGACCCCACCCACACATCTACCCCCATTCAGAGAGCACAGGTACAGGCAGAAATGGGGTATTTGCACCCTCCTGGAGAGAAGCTTGGAAGGAGAGGCCGGTGACTGGGATGGGGCCACCAACAGCTGTGAGGCCTGGTGGGGGGGCCCGGCTGGGAACAAGGTCACAGCACAGAGGCCACAGTGAGTGGACGGGTCAGTGCTGCTGAGGAGTGTGGAGTTGACAAGGTCTGAGCTGCTGCCTCCCGCCATCATCAAGAGGAGAGGGGGCCCAGAGCGTCGCCCCTGGTACCTGCGGCTGAGCAAGGGGAAGCTGTGAGATGTGAATTGCCCACGGAATTCTAGAAGGTGGGGGGGGGGGTTGATCAGCCCTGCTGTTCCAGACGGGGAACCAAGGCTCACAGTGAGTCCTGGTTCAGAGCCCTCCCTCAAAGACCTTGTGGCCTTCTGTCCCTCCCATATCTGCTCCTGGGCTCAGCCTCAGAGCCTCATGCTGCATCCTCTTTTCCTATAACCTTCCCTTCATGCTTCAGCTAACTTGTCCATTCTCCAGGAAGCACTCCCTGCATCCCCACATCCACTTGTTCTGGAATCTTCTGCTTCTGTGTCTGTCTTTCTCCTGGCTGAAAGCAGGGCCCTGCCATCCTGCCCCCACTGTACCACTACCAAGTGGATAGAATGCAAGGAATGAATGCGTGAAAGGATGGGTGGTGGATGGATGGATGAATGGGTGGGTGGGTGGGTGGATGAATGGGTGGGTAGGTCGGTGGATGGGTGGGTATGTTGGTGGACGGATGGATGAATGGGTGGGTGGGTGACTGGGTGGGTGGATGGATGGATGGATGAACGGGTGGGTGGATGGATGAATGGGTGGGTAGGTCGGTGGATGGATGAAAGGGGGGGTGGGTGGGTGGATGGATAGAAGAATGGATGAGTAGACGGAAACCCGAGTAGCTTGCCCCCTCTCGGCAGGGTGACTAGGATGGCAGGGCTGTCCTGGTTCTCAGAGATAGCTCAGAGCATCCTCTCTTCTCCTCAGGAGGCACAAGATCAATCTACAACAGTAACTCACAAGATAGTGTCCGCATACATTCAAGGCATGGTCTTTATACTGAATAGGAAGAAACTGCCCCAACTTTATCTTCCACTCACTCATGTGAGTAACAAGATGTTCTGGAGCATAAGGCATACTGGTCTCCAACCTCGGGGTACCTGGAAAGATTTGGGACATGGAACTTCCCAGAGTCCACCTTTCCAGAGCTACCTGGGTCTTACACCCTGGGAGGTGGTGTCCCTGATCACTCCTGAGTGGCCACTCCAAACATGGCCAATGGCCTCACTCCAATGGCACCTGCACCTGCCCTCCAGGCACCGAGGGAGCATCAGGAACCTCTCTTTTCTCCTTCCCAACGAGTTAAAACATAGTTAAAAATTACCCAGGGACTACGGTGTCCAAGGCAAGGTCACCTCCTGCCCACACGCTGGCCAACAAGATACCCCTAGAGCCTACCGGGCCTGGGATATGAGAGCAGGACCTGGCAGAACATGGCCACCAAAGGGCAGCAGCCACAGGCCTAAGGTAGGTGGTCAGTGAGTGGGCTGAGGGAGATACAGGGACCAGCTCACCATGGGGTGCTTGGGGGCACCTCTCCATAAAGCATGGGATCTGAAGACAATGGCCTATTCAGAGAGAGTCCAGGCACCCCTCTGCCTAGGACCCCACTCCCACCCCCTCTGCCTAGGACCCCACTCCCACCCCCTCTGCCTAGGACCCCACTCCCACCCCCTCTGCCTAGGACCCCACTCCCACCCCCTCGTGGCTGGTCTGGACACTCTGAGTGTCTGCCCATCATAGCCCCAGGGCCATGTCTCAGACAGGTCCCTAAACACACAGTGATTCCTGTTCCCAAAGACTTTTGCACATCGTCTCTTGCACCTGAAGTGCCCACGACGGGCACCAATCTCCCTCTCTTACTCTGGCCAGCCCCGTGGAGAGGGCTCACCCTGCTTACCTTTATGCCTGGTCGCCGACCCCACTGCCAGGCTCATTGTGGGGAGGGTCCAGTAGCCGTGTCCTGGGCCCCTGTCACCAAAGCACATGGGCTGTAAAAAGGAGGGCATCACCCCAACCATGGGGCCTTGGGATCAGGACCAGAACCTGCAGATGAGCAGATGCCGATGCCAGCAGAGACAGAGGCCAGCCAACTGGGGTAGAGGGTTCTGCCCATCCACAGGGGAGGAGGTGCTCGGCCAGGACTGAGTCCACCTCGATGCTTCACTTGTGCTTAAACATGCCCAGAAAGTACCAGAAAGACGCGTGGGGGCCAGCTCTCCAAAAGGGGCTTGTAACTTTCTCCTTGGGCTCTTCTCCACTATGGGGACCTGTTCCTTAGGATATGCATACGTTAACCTAATCTGGGGATTTTTTAAGCATCTCAGGTCATCGAAATGCCAGTTAAGCACAGGTTGTCTCAAGATGCAGGGTCCCAGTCCTGGCTCCCAGCTAACTTCTTCTGTACAATGGGGACAGTGATGGGCTTACCAGGGTGCTGTGAGGTTGAAGGATCTGCATGGAGCCCTGGGTCCTGGGACCTGTCCACATGTCTGGTCTTCAGAGGCTCCTCCCCAGGGCCCCGAGGAAAATGAAATCAGGGGCCCTTTGTTCAAAAACAGGGGGAAAGTGCCCATGAAGGTACTAAAATACAGCCCCTTCTCCTTTCTTCCCCCGTCTCTCGACTTGTTGTGATGTTTCTCTATTTGCTATTTAATGTCGTACTAAGTTAAGGAAAATTAAAGATTTAAATGACTAGTGTGAATTCTAAGGTTCCCGGGTGGTACAAACTGTTTGCACTGGACTAGTAACCTAAAGCTTGGTGGTTCAAACCCATCCAGAGATATAGAGGAAGAAAAGCCCTGGCGATCTGCTCCCACTAAGATTACAGGCAAGAAAACCGTATGGAACAGTTCTATTCTGTAATCCATGGGGCTGCCATGAGCCGGAACCAACTCCATGGCAAGCACCACCCAGCCTAAATTCAACCATTCATCTTTATATCGTGAGAAGCCAGTTTTAAGTGCAAACAGAAGAGCATTGAACACGTATACAGATTCGCCAGAGTTGCACACTAGTATTTCATAGCTCCTATATGAATATATGTTTCATTCTCATCAGAACAGTGGGAAAGTGGCATAACACCATTATTTCACTCCTGGATACACACAGCACCACCCACCATACTGATGGGCATGGAAGGACTGGAAGAACAGGAACGAGGGTTGCCCCTTTCCCATCCCTTCAGCATGTGTGGTTCGCTAACACAGAGGAGGAACAAGCAGAGAAAGAGCGTGATGGGGCCTCAGTCCTCCGTGTTTCCTGGAGCACCACTGCCTTCTCTCTGTCGTAAGGGGAAGCAGGGACTCCACCTGCTCAGGTGTAGAGGGAGCCTGCTCACCTCGACCTCGCGGAGCTCCACAGAATCTGCTCATGCAGGTGTAAATGTGATGGCGAACACGCGTGTTGCGCACCTCCTCTTCTCACACAAGCTCAATTGTCCCATTGGTCTTCATTTACAAGACACATGTTCAAAGACAGAAGCAAAGTTCTTACCTGGGAAGCTTGCCACCACCTTTCTGGTCGACCTCGGGCTTCTCCAGGAACAAACCTGGTGGCTACACCAGGACAAGGTGAGGCTGGGTTCATCTCTCAGGACCCTTGTCCCTCTGGGCGCCTTGGCCTAGGGGCTGGACCTGGTGGAGGGTTGGGCTGTGCGAGTTGGGGGTGACAGACGCTGTCCACTGCAGCCGGTCCTCTCCTTCTCTAGGGCTTGAGCTTAACTCGCTCACTGCAAGGGTTCCCACGGTGAACTTTATCTCGGGAAGTTTGCTGTCTGGGCAATTTTAGAAAGAGCCACAAACCTGGAACAGAAAGAGTGTACTGGTCAGCCTCCCCTTTCCCTCCCTGTCCCTTATCGCCTGGGAAACCCACCCCAGAGATGGGGGCTACCGGAAGCCAGCAGTGGGGGGATTTCACCTGAGATCCCCCCGTGAGTGGAGGACTAAGTGTGGGTTGGGGACTCCAAGATGCCTAGAGTTGGTCAGGGCTCCCCCAGGCGATGGGGTACTGTCCCAGAGTTGGGGACCCCATACACCCCCAGCACTGCATGGGGTTGGGGTGAACCCCTCTGGGTATTTTTCTCTATTTTAATTATGTACACGCTAAAAACTTTAGACAATGCTCAGAGGTAAAACATAAGAACTAGAAATCTCTCCCCCCACACCTCGTCCTTAACCTCAAAGGTCAGCAACAATAACAGATCCAGCTCCCCCGTCCCTAAACGCCCGTCTTGCCAGGGGAGCCCACTTCCTCGGGTGACACTCCATGACCAAGGACTGGTGGTGAAGGCCTCAGCCCTGCTCACAGAAGCCTCTGTGCCCCCAGAGCCGGCTTGAAGGTGGGGTTGGGGAGTTGGCCCTGTGCTCTGAGCCTGTCAACCCCATCCCTGACCCCAGGCCCAGGGGCCTTGCCTGGTCTCCTCCCAGGCCAGGTCTCTGCTGCCCACCCCGCCCCTCCCTGCTGGTCCTCCAAGCTGTGGCCTTGGCCAATCCCTCTCTCCCCTCCCCCCGGGCTGTAAACCAGGTTCAGAGCCTGCAGGCTGGGTGAAGGGCAGTGTCGCCAGAAGTCTCCAGCCTCCCTCAGAGCCCTCAGACTCACCTTGAACCCTAAAGGTGGGAGTCCCTGGCATGACTTGTCCCCTCTGTGTCCTTGTGTCTCCATTTCCCTGCCCTGAAATTCCCCCCCCCCCCTTTATAGACAGGCGATTGTGGCTCTAGGAGGGAGAGGCTCCTGCAGGGAAGGGGGCTAATACTGGTGATGGGGTGGGGACTGGGGAGGGAATGGGGGAGGGGATGATGGGAACCTGACAGGGAGTGGATAGGAACCAGGACCCAGGACAGGATGGGCCCCTATGGGACTGTGCCCTACTCCAGGCCGCCCTCCTGTCCTGGTCCAGCCTGCCTAGGGTTTTGCTGGAGGAGGTGAGCCGCCCATCCCTGCCCCATGCCCCACCCCCCCTCAGCTATTTCAGGGCCACATGTAATAGGTCAGCCACCTGCCCTCAGCCAGGCTCCCAGGCAGACTCTTGCCTGATTATGACAGTCCATGCAGCCTGTCAGGCGACATTCTGATTTGAAATTTCTTTTGATCCGTGTGGTAGGCTGGGAACGGGGGAGACGGGGATTAACTCCATTACAAATGAGGAAACCGAGGCCCAGGAGGCTGAACAACCAGAGACCCCATTTTATTCCTACATCGGGGCACCTGAGGTCACAGGCACCCCAAAGACAAGGGCAGGAGGGCAGGGGCTGGGGAAGGAGAGAGCATCTGAGAATGGAACCATGTCCTCACTGAGAGGCCTGTGGCTACTTGAGACACATCTCTGGCGCCCAGAGCCCGCACCTCCCATCTGAGTCCCTCCAGCTGATGCCAGTGGCACTGCTTGAGATGAAGTCCTCACGTTCTGGCCTGGGAACTCCAATCTTGCCCCCCACAGCCCACTCCTTGCCTGCCCTGGGCCCAAGGTGCAGCCCGGGGGAAACAGACAGACCCCAGACACCCTGGGGCTGGCGGCATCTGACAAGCCTTAGTGAGGGCCTGCGTGTCTGCAGAGACATGTGTAAGGCATTAGCCCCTCATCCTTGGTGTGCCTCGGAGGGCCCCTGGGAATTTCTTTGTTAAAAGAAGTAGCTTCTTTGTACCTGAGGGAAGCTGGCTGAAGGCCTCAGGGGAGACATCAAACCTGAGAAAAGAAACAAAGCCTCCAGCATCAGGGTCCTGGACTGACAGCAGAGGTAGGTAGCTCCTAGCTGGAGGTGGGAGGCAGAGCTGTGGTCTAGCAGACAGGGACCTGAAGTCGGGACTCAGTGGCCACCTTCTCTCTTTCCAGCTCATCATGAGACTAGGGGAGCTGGGGGGCAGGGTGTGGTGAGATTTGGGTTCAGGACTGGCCAAGGGCCGGGACTATAAGGAGGTGCAGAAATGCCTCTTGCCCCCTCTCTGCACAGTCCACCATGGAGCATGGCTTGTTAGGAATCGTCCTAAGTGAGGGACCACACAGGGCCTCCGTGATCATTGGGCCCTGGGGTATGGCCAGTATGAATCCAGAGAGGGTCGAACTCAGACACTGCAGGTGAGAAAAGAGGGCAAAAGTGAGGAAGGTGGCTGACCTCGGGGGTGTGTGGCACCCACCTGCCCACTCACACAGATTCAGATCCCAGCTGCCCATCGCCAGATGCCTACTGCAGGTAGGAGACATCAGGAGGTTCTTCCCACCATCACCCACAAAAAAGAGAGATGGAAGCCACTTACATGCTACTAGCACATTTTAGCACCAAGAATCCATCATAAGGGTTGTCTCCCCCTCACTCCACATCTTAGCCAGCTTTCCTGCCACTTCATTCTCAAACATGAGATACCTCAGCTGGGTGAGGAAAGTCTGCAAAACAAGACAAAAGGCCCAGATACTCAGGGGAAAAAAATGACTCCGAGGACACAGATTGTCATTCAGTGAAGAGAAGACAACAAAACAAAACCTCTAACTGATATCAGACCAAGAACCGGACACCAAGGAAAAAGAACAAAAGCCACAACAATGCAAGAAGCTGCTCTTGGAAATTAAACATATAATTCCTGCAAGGGAACATACAAGTGCTAGAAGACAAACTTCAGGAAATCTCCTAGTGCATGGAATAAGAGCACAAGAAAACCTAAAACATGAGAGAGAAAAAACAGGAGACAAGGATTAGTCCGGGAGGTCCAACATCTGATCAACTGCAGCCCCAGGAAGGGAGAACAAAAACAAAACAGAAACTGAAACTTAACCTGTTGCTGTCAAGATGATTCTGACTCATAGTGACCCTATAGGACAGAGCAGAACTGCCCCATGTGGCTTGCAAGGATGTAAATCTTTATGAAGCAGACTAACACATCTTTCTCACCCAGAACGGCAGATGGGTTTGAACCACTGACCTTTTGGTTAGCAGCTGAGTGCTTAACCACTGTGCCACCAGGGCTCCTATTAGGAAAGGAGACAAGAAATAGGGGAGAAGACAGAATAGAAAAATGTCTTGGACCAAAGGGAGAATGGGTGTTCCAATCAGTGACCCTCCAGAATGCAGAGCTGGTTAAATGAAAAAAAGTCTCAAACTAAGGCAGATCATTGAGAAATTACAGAGCTCCTTGGGTAAAGATTGTATCCTTGAGTTCCCCAAACTCAGGAAGATTGTGGAGAGAACAAGCAGGTCCCTAGAGAACTGAGCATCAGGCGTCACTGAACTTCAACAGCACAGTGTTAACACAGCCTCAAGTTCTAAGGGGAACAGTTGCAGCATTTATTCCATGTGTCCATCAGAATACAGATATGCTCAGACACTGGAGGACTCAGTGTTCACTTCCCACACACCACTGTTAGAAAGTGATTTGAAGACACACTCTAACAAAACAGGAGCATACTCCTTTTAGGAGGAAGATCTGAAGTGTACATATTAAGTGGGAGCCACCAATTCCAGGCAGGGAAGGGTGTTCAGAGCACCAAGAGAGAGCACCTCGCAGAGGGGTGAGGGGCCATAAGTACAATTCAGAGCTTGGAAAGTTGTGAGAATACGATCAAGGTACTCAGTGGAAGAAAAAAAAAGGCAATCAGAAACTCCAGGATGAAAATAGAAACATAGGAAAAAGGCAGTTTTAAGCATGACTTGGAATTTCTGGGTGGTGCAAATTGTTAACACACTTGTCCAATAACCAAAAGGTTGGAGGTTCAAGATCACCCAGAGGTGCCTCAGAAGAAAGGCGTGACAATCTACTTCTAAAAAATCAGCCCCTGCCAACTGCATGGAGCACATTTCAACTCTGACACATGTGGGGTCAACATGAGTCGAAGCGCCTAGATCTGCAAGGCACGGTTCTGAGTGGTTCACACTTCAGTTCTCCCAACAGTAGGTATGATGAGGACGTCTATTTTACAAAGAAACTGAGGCTGAGGAGTTTGACAGGCTCACACCACTCGCAAGTAGTGGGGGTGAGATGGGGATTCGAGCTGTCTGATCTTAAAGCTCACTTGGCCTCGCAGCCTTACACCCACAGACCACACACGAGTTAAGCTGAGCCCGGCATAACGTTGAGACCGTTAGGACGTAAAAGGAGTCCAGTCTGGCCTCGGGCTGCACTTGGCATCATGCACTGATGTCACTGTCTTAAAGGTCTTCACAGTGTTTGCACAGGCCTGAGGACCATGTGGCTGGACTTGAATAGCCCCTTTGGGTGGCACACCACAGAGAGTGGTAACAGCCACTGCTTCGCTCCTGGAGGTGGTGTCTCTGCCACCAACTTGGAAGATCCTCCTGAATCTGAAGTTACACAGCAGGACGCAAATCAGCCCAGTTGAGTCCAGGGCCACGAGGGACACGAGGCAAAGGGAAAAGTCAAGCACTGACCCTCTCCTTGTTTAAATATTGCTCCTTTGTTCATCTTGGACTTTTTGCATTACTTCTGATTTTTTAGAATGTTGTACTAGAGTATGATTTATCTTGATGACTGAGGTTTTTGAGCCCTTTTAGATATTGTGCTTTAGGCAAACGCCTTGCTCACTTCACCTCCTTGTCACTGGAGTGGACAATGCAAAAGCGAACACTCATCTTTCCAAGGCTGGGGGCAGGAGGAGGCCAGAGTGGGGGCTCAGGGGTGTCACCTTAACTGCAGAGGTGGAAGCACTAGGCTTATGATGTAACTGTATTAAAGAAGTGGGGACATGGGGTGGTTTCAGGGAGCGGGATTCTTATCTGTCTTCCTAAGATGAAGTTAGTCCATATGTTCCATGCTGACAATGAAGGAAGAGCCGTGTGGTGGGTTCATTATTCCGTGACCTGGGTAATCAGAAAACAGGCCATGAGAGACACCACCCATCAGGGTGGGAGTGGGTTATAAGTCCTTCTTTCCTGTCAGGTGTTCAAGCCAATGAAGTACTACAAAGGAATGCCAGAGAACAGAAATGATGTTTAACAACTTAAGTAAATACATTATGAATATGAAAATTGGAAGTTGGGCAAAATTAAATGTCAGGCAGGTTTATGGAAAAAGACAAAAACCTCTACCCTCCTGGGTAAGGGTTAAGGGACAAAGAGGTAACTCCTCCGTCTTCCAGACACAGAGAGGTCACAGTATTTACAAATGAGAACACATCAGATGCCAGGGACAGAGCATTGGCAGCGTGGAGGCTGGGAGACAGAGGAAGGTGGAGGCTCGTGTGCTGTGTGCGAGTGAGGCTGGTGTGGCTCAGACATTGGGGCTCTGGGACTTCCATGTGGACCTGATGTGGAGCAGTGGTGAGATTCCAGGAAGTCCTCACAAAAATGGCATCACTATGGAACTAGTCTTACTTTCAGGAGAAACTACACTCCTAGGTCAGCAGTGGTTGTAGGATGGTGTTCTCAGGAGGGTCACTCAGCCTGATGAGGAGGGGGCCCTCTGATGAGACAGCAGTGTGAGCCCACGTCTTCCGCGGACAATAACCACCCCTCCCTCCTCAGGCTGCTCCACTGGACCCAGTACAAGTGAACAACAGTGGCCTGAGAGGCCTGAGTGTCCCAACATTTGGCCCTACAGGCTGAGAGCAGAGATGTGTTGAGATGGGGGAGGGGCATCAGGTGGGGGCAACCTGGGGGCCAGGCTGACAGGTGGCACCAGGCAGCCGTGTCTTAGAGTTGGGGCAATCCATGTGCCAGGTGAAAGATGTTATTTATTCATTTTGAAGAATGAGGAAATAGAGGCAAAGTAAGTCCAGTACCTTGCTCATGGTCACAGAGATAAGTAAAGGGACTGGCAGGAGCTTGACCCCATACGGTCTCTGCCAGGGTAAATACAGGGGTCCCCAGGTAAAAAGAGGACTGAGCAGCCGTGAGGGAAAAGGGGTCCAGGACTCACATCTCACCCACTAGGAAAACTCCTCTGGGGTTCTTGTCCCCTCCTCTCTCCATTGGCAAAGACCTGAGGACCCCTAGACGTCCGGGAACATTTTATCCAGACTCCAATGTAAACAATCTAATCCAGGTTATTTAAAAACGAGGGTCTCTGCAGCACTTTAAATCACCCACCAAGAAAAGGGTCCTATCAGGGCCAGGTGGGGTTTGACTCTTACATCTGCACAATCAGAACCCTGGGTTTAAAACTGAAAGTCTCCACTCTAGCGGCAGAGAAAAGACCAGTCTTATGGTACCTTGGGGTTGTTATTATTACTACATTTAAAAAGCCAAAAACCTGTTGATGATTCCCCCTCATAGCAACCCTACAGGACAGAGTAGAACTGCCCTACAGGGTTTCCAAGAAGCAGCTGGTGGATTCGAACTGCTTTTTGGTGAGCAGATGAGTTCCTAATCACCACGCCAACAGGGCTCCATTGCTACATTTAGGCATCCCAAAACAGAGATTTAAAAAATCTCAATGTCTCCCTTTTTGTGCCCTCTCCAAACGCTCCATGAGAAAAAACACTTGCTTAGACACAGAAGGATTTAAGAAGGGTTAGGAAGATCATCAATATCATTTAATGGAGCCACTCAGAACTGCAGATCTGTGGCTGAGAAATCCCAACCCCTTCTGTCTGTGCCTCTCACAGAGACTTTGTTATTAGCTGCCCATTAGGCTTTACCTCATGGAGATCCTATGTATAGCAGAGTGAAAATTTGCTCCATCCTGTGTCATCTTCATGATCACAGGCATGTTCAATTCCTATCGGGCAATATCCTGTTCTGATCCATAAGGATATCATCGGCTAATTTTAGAAATAGATTGCCAGGCATTTCTTCCTAGTCTGTCTTAGTCTAGAACCGCTGCTGAAACCTGTCCACATGGGTGACCCTGCTGCTATTTGAAATATCGGTGGCATAGATTCCAGCCATCATAGCAACATGTAAGCCACTACAGTACAACAAAGGGACAGATAGGTGAGGGCTCAAAGAGACTAAACCAGAAAAACCAAACCCACTGTCACTGAGTCGATTCTGACTCATAGCAACCCTAAACGGCAGTGCAGAACTGCTCCATAGGGTTTCCAAGGCTGTAAATGTTTACGGAAGCAGACTGCAACATCTTTCTACTGCACAGCAGCTGGAAGGTTCCAACCGCTGAGCTTTCAGTTAGCAGCTGAGTGCTTTAACCACTGCGCCAGAAGGGTTCCTTCAGAGACTAGGCCCCATAAAATGCTTGTCCATAAATAGAAGGGCCTTAAAGGGCTAGGAATTGTATCATTGATATTAAAGCTAAACACTTGAACCATATGTTTAAAACTGAAAGTTTTCCATCTACATGCAAAATTAAAAAATAAAGACTTTAAGAAGTTTGGTTCTTTTCATCATCACTTGATGAGCACTGTCTAACAAGGTAGTATTAGGTGAACTATCGAGATATTTACACATGGTTATTGGCCAAGGAAGGAGCCCCAGTGGT